CTTTCCTTTCCTTTCCTTTCCTTTCCTTTCCTTTCCTTTCCTTTCCTTTCCTTTCCTTTCCTTTCCTTTCCTTTCCTTTCCTTTCCTTTCCTTTCTCCATCGGGGAACCCTGCCTTGGGTTGTTGAGCTGGAGACTCACCCTATGTTCTGACAAGACCTCATTGTGTGTCCATTCACCAGATTTCCCAAAAATCATGACCTGGTTTGACCTGTTCACACAAAGCAACCCCACTATCCTACAAAATCCACCAACCAACCTCTCTCAACAGCTCCCTGAATCACCTCTACAATGAACCCACTCCTAGTGGTTCCAAGCTCTGGTTCAGATGCCACTACTGATCCAGAAAGTCTGGAACTGGATATGGAAAATGAGTTTCCTTGTTAAACTCTCATCATAAAGAAAGAACCTGCTGCTAGTTCTCCTCAGAAACTATGCATTGCTAATTTTCAAGAATGCTACTTGATGGGATTTAGGAAAGATTTGAAAAGGCTTGTGAGGAAATGAGGATTCAGCAGCTCCCTGAGTCTCACATGCTCCCCCAGGAATCACACTGAGGGCAGAAACCTGCACGCCACAAAGAAGAGCTCAGCTGGGATGGGCACTGATTAAATTCCCATTTTGGCGCTGTTTCTCCAGCACCACTGACAGGGATGTTCACAGGGAAGAGCCACCTGCTCCAGCAGGACTGGGCACCCTGGGGACCTGTGGGATGATGGGGAAAGGAAGGAATACTTAGCAGTAAGGTTTGGAAAAAAAAAAGCCCCAAACCAACCAAACAGCAAACCTGAAACAAAACCCCAAAGGAAACAACCAAGCAAACTGAAAGGCCATCAGCCAGAGCAGCCCAGAAGGTGACAGAAGTACCTAGGAGAAGGATGACACCCACTGGGATCATCCCCACAGCTTTTCCAGCAGTGCCAGGGATCATTTCATGGCCAGGCTTTTCAGGTTCTCCTGTTTAACACAAATTTCTACAGACTAACACAGACTCATCTCCCTCCAAGCTGGAATTTACATCCAGCGGCTTTGCTAAGGTTAGAAAGTGTAAAGATAAAAATGCCAATCAAGATTATAGGAGATGATTCTCCTCTTTTCCCTCAGCCCTCCCCCTGGGCAGTGCTTTCCCAGCAGAATCAGCTGGATCATTGCATCCCAGCCACAGCAGCAGCTTCAGCTACGGCTTCAGCTCTGCTGCAGCGCTCACACCAGCTGCTCCAGCAGAGCTCAGCACAAAGAAACAAAACCCTTCCTTCCCTCTCCTCCTACACTGTTTAAGCCACGCATCTGCAGTTGCCAAGTTCTCTTTTTGATGCTGGAAATTTACATTTGCCTTCGTATACACACATGCTCCTTTTATCACACTCTGATAAGCTCAGTTTTTATCCTCACCCAGATGATGCTGGTGGAGAGAAGAAACTACCTGCTACAGAGAAGCTGGACAGCTGTTCCTGCAATAAAAACGGTGGGTTTTTTAAACTGAGTCCATAAAAACCCATTTAATGGACAAAAAGAAGATCTATGCTTGCATTTATAAAGCCAGGAGCTCATGTAATTTATGCTCTCTTCTTTTTGGGTCTGGGCAGAAGGATTCACAGCACATCATTCCCAGAAGATGAGTGGCACACCTCTGCTAAGTGTTATCATTTATAAAGTGATACTTGAAATTATAATAGATTCCAAAACAGAGGTGTAAAATTGCTGCAAATAAGATTAAGAAAATGTTCACCAAATTCAAACTATAAAGCTAGGATCTCTGCTAAATTCCTGCCCAGCTCAGATAAGTCACTGATCCCAGCTTTGCATTTCCAGTGCTTTCACTTTAAGGAAAGGGGGGAAAAAACACAACCACAAATCCCAAATAAACCCTACAAAATCCAGCCTTCCACCACATTCTCTCGCACTGGATTTAGCATCAGTTCAGGTCAGTGCTGGTTCCAGAGCTGGCACTAAATGATCTGGGCCAACAGAAGCTGGAAGCAGCAATTTTCATATTTATCAGATAATCAAGTTTTGCAGGACAAGTGATGATGATGTGTAAAAGTTCCATAGCAGCTAATCAAAGACAAAACTTGAGGAAGCAGCAAAAATCTCATAATGAAGAAATATATTCCACCACAGGTGGCAGGAAATTGTAGCTACTGATAAGAAGTGCTATGGGGCTCTGGCAAAGAAAGACAATCAGCATAAGCATGAAGGCAAAGTAGTGATAGCACCAATAAAAAAAAAAGCCTCAGAGCACTCTCCAGAAATCTATGGTGAGAATCAAGTGACAAGTAATAAATTTGCATTTTCTCTAAGACCTTGCATTCAAACACATTCTTAAATACTTTGTGAGTTTCAGGAGCTGGCTGCAGACCATGTGTTGCTTGAGAACATAAAAAGCAAAGCATCACTTCACTGAGCACTGAAGCACCAACATCTGCAGGGAGAGATTATGTGGAAATCTCAAACGAGATTCGGGAACAAGCTGCTCAATCCGTCCAAATGGTGCAAATGATGGAGAAGGCAAAGAATTCAAGGTTTGCTTCTTTTAAATCCTAATTTTATTCCCATTAATATTCCACTAAATTTTTTTACTCTGTGTTTCCACATTGTAGTTTAATCTATGCCTGTGCCTTGGAATATGACAGGGACAAGTAAAGGGACAAAGAAGGAGGCTGAAGTCAGGGCCAAGCCAGAAGTTGGCCAAGGTGGTCCCATCCTGGAGCAGTCACAAATTCCTCTCCAGCTGCATTTGAAGGATCTGCAGCTCAGGGAAAGGCACGCAGGAAGGTCAGTGGATCACAGAACCCTGCAAAAGATGGGCAGTAGCAAATACCCATTCAGGATAGGTATTAATATCCCTGGCTTAGAGGAATTCTCCAGGGGAAGAATGGATTGCAATGGGAAATAAATGATTGGCTCAGCAGACTGAAAGCAAGCAGGGAATTCACCCACTGTGCTGCCGTGAGAGAACACGACTCCTGAATTCAGGGGAATTCCAACAGCCACGACCAGGAGCAGGCAAAACACAGAGCTTAAAGCTGCTGAGCAGCATCTGTCAGCTCAGTGCACGTTCTGATAAGGACCAGGTGAAAAAAGGAACTTGTGTTTTGTCTAAAAGGACCTCAGGATGATTTAATGGCAGGGTAAATTGGAAAAGAGAGGAAAGAACACCAAAGTCAAGGACAGATTTCCCAGCACCCAGGAAAGCAATAAAATCAGCTAGGAGGGAAAAAAATATCCCCTATCCAGACTCTGCTGGATATATGCAGTTCAATTTCTCCCTTAAAAAGGGAAATTTAACACGGAAATGCCAGAGAAAGTGGAGGAATCAGCAAAGCAGGCTCAGGTGGGGTCATGTAAGGAAAAAAATCACTTTTCCATGGGATCAAAAGACTTAAAACTATGCAAAAAGGAAATTCTTCTCTCTGCCTTTCAGGGGTGAACTTGTACAGTGTAGAATGCTCCGAATGTCAAGGAAGGCTTGGCACATATCCTTTGAAATAGAGTGTGAATAAAGACAAATGTTAACATGCTCCTTTGTGAGATTTGGTTTCTACATATTAGCATTTGAATTGTACTCAGCCCTCTGTGTGTGTCACATTAAGAAAAATTCCCATTTCTATGCTCTGCATTAGGAGAAACCTGCTCCAGGAAGAGCCAGAAGCCAGTAAAAATCCAGGAACACACCTATAAACCCTGAACCATCAAAGAGTCTGCCAAGAAAAACCCTAAAGCACAAACAGCACACACGAATTTCCCTTCGTGGGCAGCAGCTCTTTATTGATCACAGGCAATTTATTGGTATCACCAAGGATTGCTCCAAAGTCAGGAGGAATTTCTTGTTTGCAGCTGCTCCCTGGAGCACTCTGTCTTCCCTCAGAGAGGGAAATGGGTCCAACAGCACCTGCAAGGAGCTCCCATTGTGCTTACAGAGGTGGCCAGTGCAGAAATCCTGAAAAATGCCTTTTTTCAAAAAATTACTGAGCAACACCCCAGAGAAACACTCAGAATGTACAATTAACCACTTCCTGGCAATCCTCAAAGCAGCTCTTTTGGTGACAGTGAAACAAATCCACTAAAAAAGCAGGAAAAATAAATATCCCCAACATGCAAAACTAGAATTTTTCTTAAACTATAATAAAATTAATATTATAAAAGTACTTTCATTACTGTGAGATCTTATCTTTTGAATTACATTTAATATTTCTAAAGATTTTTAAATCAGAAAAGTGCATCAAAAGTAGGAAGAAAGAAAAAAAATAATGACACAGTAATTAGTAAGAGAGTATGAAAATGTGATTTAAAAAATAAAATCTTTCAATCATGTTCTAATGTGCAAGAAACTTCCATGGAAACTTTACTTGCTGGACATGGCAGGAATTCTCCTGCCTGGCTCCCAGAGCCACACAGAATTCCAGCCAGGGTCAGGCTATCATTTATAAACTGATATAAATCAAATACATTTCCTCCTGTCCCTTGAGCAGGCACTGAAGTCTCACTTGACTTTCCCCCCACAAAACTGCTCAATTCCTTGGAATCCTGGGGAGCACAACCACTCTGTTCTCTCTGCCAGAGAGGAAAAGGAAAAGCAGCCCCTGGCACTGAGGCTCTTTGACTTTTTTAACAGTCAGGTCACACGAAGACAGGTGAGAATTGCTTAAATCCCAGGGAAGCACTCATTAATTAGAAAATTAACTGACATTACATAACTTCATGTTAATCCATCCACGAGATGATTTGAACCAAACACACAATACAGAATTCAGCAGGAATATGTTCAATTTTTTTCAGGTTTCAGAATTCCAATTCTATTCCGTTAAGATTCCATTAAATTTTTGTGTTCTTGTGTTTCCACATTGTATTTTAATCCATTGCTCAGGAGTTTTGATGGGATGTTTAGGCAATAAAACACAGAGAGAGGCTCGCACAGCCATGCACAGCCTCAGAGTACCACAGTTCCCATCACCTTTAAAACAGGGATAAAATCCATATTTTTCCAATGCATTTCAAGATCTACTGATGAGAACCCCATGCAAGAACTCCTGTCAGCTGTTACCCTCTCACTGAGTATGGTCATGTTGGAATATTACCCTTCCTGACCTCTGAAAATAACATAAAATTGAAATGAAGCAGTAACTGTATGACTATAAAATGTCACTAACATCAGAGAGTAGGGAAAGACTAATTAAAGGAAATTTGCTCTTAAAAGACAAAGAGTTCAGATTCATTCACAGATACTTATATATCTAATTTAGTGTGCAAAGAGAAAATGAATGTGCAGGTAGCATGAGAGAAGAGCTAGATTCATTCACAGATATTTATATATTTAATTTATTAAATATAGAGAAGATGAAAACACAGGATTTTGTGGGCAGAGATCTGCTCTGCTTCTGCACAACCCTTCTGAAGGAGCAGCATCACATTCACAAGTGCCAGAAGAAGGAACAGGCTCTTCTTCTCTTCAAATGCAGGGACAGAAGTAGCACAGAAATGGATGGATGGATGGATGGATGGATGGATGGATGGATGGATGGATGGATGGATGGATGGATGGATGATGGATGGATGAGGGATGGAGGGATGGATGGATGGGGCTCTCTCTGACATCCCACCTGCAAACCAGACTTTGCTGATGTGTCTCATTGTTTGGGATGAGCTGCTGGATAATTTGTGCTGGGAATTGCAGTGAAGGGAGCCCCATGCTTTGCTGTTTGCCTCCAGTGGAGGTGGCAGACATGACAAAAGCTGTTTGCCAAAGATTACCTCACTACTGGAAAAGTTTCAGTGGCTTCCCAGTGCCTTGCATTTACAGGCCAGGAGAGGAAAGCAGGTGCAGTTACACAAGATAAAACCATTCCTTCAGCTTTCCATCCTCAGTTCCAGTTGGCATTTCAGTGCTAAGCAGCACAGAAATAACAGCACAGCCCAAAGTATCTCCTTAATAATTCCAATAAATCACAGGGATGACAAAACAAAAGCAGGAAGGATTTCACATGGGAACATCTTTAGGAGAGGACAACACCTGCAGCTGCCTTTGAGAAGAGCAAATCCTTGTGAGCTCCTGGGCATAGCAGACACATTCCCAGAGCATTCCCAGAGCACTGTGACCTCCTGGCTCTTGTCTAAAGCTCCTGCCAAGCTCTGGCCACAGCAGATGCTTCGTGTTCAACAGTGCCAGCAGCAACACCTTCCATGTGTGCAGGCCCAGCTCTGGTTGGGAGGGACTTTAAACTAAGGGATCCAGGGATTCAGCCCACTTTATCCTGGAATGGGATGGGAGAGGCTGAAGGCTCTAGGAATGTTTGCTTTGGGTGGGTTACAGTTTTTTTATCTCTACAAGCTCACTGAATTGTGTGGTTGTGCCTGGCAGTTTGCCTTCCACAACAGGAATTGAAACTATTATACTGAGAAATAGAGAAAATTACAGTATTTCAATCTCTGCTTATTTCTCTGCAAAACAAAAAAGGACAAAAACCTTGGGAGGCTTTTCTTTTTTTAATAGCTGAATGACTAAGAAAGTTCCCTCTCTAGTAAGTCTGTCTTTGCTTTTCAGTCTCTTAAAGACATTTAAATGTCTGACAAATAGATTATAGACTACTTGTTTTAAGAGTTTGGGGGGAAAATGAAGCTCGAATCTGTATTACTTTGAAAGGCAAGCACAATATTTGGTCTGCACAGCTTGTGGCACCTATTAAAACCTTCATTAAAGCACCAGTGACAAACTGCTGCTGTCAGGGAGAAGTGATGCTGAGCACTCTGCAATATTTGATGGTACACTTGCCCACACAGCCATTATGACCATGTTTTCATTCTGCTCTATACTGAAAAAATACAGGCACCCACTAGAACATTTTGATAGAAGTTGGGTTAGTTTTAGCTAAAAGAGCCCATCAAACATTTACATGGAGGTGAGAACCATAGGTACACACATCACCTGAGAGGAAGTCCATCTGGAAATCAGCAGTGGAAAAAGAGAGCAAACCTTTGAGTAATTTCTCTCCACATTTACATTACATAATATTTTGAATGCGTTAAATCTGTGAAGTGCCTCTTTGTATAGTATTATTTTTATCAACTTCCTAACACACAAGTGGTTTGAGGTTTTTCAATATACAGTATAGAAAAATTAATCTGAAACAAGTTTGTACTGTATTCTGCATAGCAGCTACCCAAAACTGAGAGCTCTAACCTATGGAGAGCCTCCTTCATTACCCACAGAAAACCAGCAAAGCCTTTTTATCTGCATTATTAATTTCTTTGTCCTTCTCCCATTGAGCTTAAAGTCTGCTCCACACAGATCTTAGGAGAGGGAGAGTTCTGTGCTCTTGTTAAATTCTGTTTCCCATGTTTACTTGTTGAAAAAAGAGTGTGATTCTCACTCTTCCCTAATAACTTGCTAATTATCTCAATATTCTTGGAATATATTTCTTGTCAGCATAAAGCAAATTTGCTCAGACATCTCCGTGCAATCATAAAAATGAATACTAAGCTATACTTCACACTACAAAATTCTATTTCACAGTTAATACTTACTAAATTTTCTTTATTGGTGCTACTATTTCATAAGCCCAAAACTTACTTGATAGTGAGTGCTATTTTCCCTTTTTTCTCTAACAGTTTGACTATTATATCCCATTTTCCATCCCTGGTTAATGAACCTTCAGCAACAAGAGTGGTAACAAATGAAAATACATATTGTACCTGCATTGTATCACCACTTGCAAGTTACTAGGATCACTTGCTATTAAATAAAATTCAGAATAAATACCGGCTTGTACAAAACAGCAGAATTTTTATACAACCAGCAGCAGTTGGGCAATGCTATTTTCACAAGATTATGAAGTTCAGCCAACCCAGCCTGCCTGGCTTTCAGTGCAGTTATAGCTAAAGAAAAGCTTGAGATATTGTGGTGCTGCCCCATACCTAATAGCACTGGCTGGATTCCTGCCCATCTAAGTGGGACATCCTGTAAATGTATGGCTTCCAAAATTTAATAATGAAACCCCCCACCACCTGGTTACAGAAATTAAAGTCTCATCATTGCTAAGGCAGAGCATTTTCACACAAGTGAAAAGGGATAAATTAGATTCACACTGCACCAAACACTTTGACAAATGTATCAGCACTCCACCTGGATATAATAATTTTTTTTAAGTTAAGCTTATAAAACATAGCTCATTATATAGGCAAAAAAAAAAAAAAAAAAAAAAAAAAAAAAAAAAAAAGCCATGCACTGCTGGAACTTTCATTTCTGCATCTTCACACTTGCATTCCAGACTTTAACTGATATTTTACCTGAGAAATTCTAGTCTGAGTAAATTTGAGGCTTTGCCTTATGAAGAACAAATTTCTAATTGTGGAAAAAATCCCTGTCTACATCAAGTACAGAGGAAGCAGTATTTAGTCCAAAACGCCAGGGTCTGGGGGCTGTGGGAGAATGCAGAACTGTGCCAGAGGTACCTGTCTGCACACGAGCCAACTCCTCCTGCACCACTTCCATGCTGGGATTCAGCATCTCCTCATACAACCCACC